AAGTTATTGTTATTGTGATTGAATTGTCATTGAGAGTTATTGGAGCGACTTTGGGGAATTTTGTGGAGTTGCGGAATGAAAACGGCAAAAACGGCCTGGGTTGGGCAAATGCCGACTGCCGCAAGAGAGAGTCGGTGCGCTAGCGAGTGCGCCTTGACGCACCACTCTAAAGTTTCCGCTTGTAGAAAACTGGAAAAAATGAGGGCTACAAATAGGTCTCAAAGCCAATCTTTCTCCCTAAAGGAAAACTTGCCAAATCCTTATCCAAGGCTTTATTTTCCTTCAGCACAAACGGTAGATTTACTTGGTAGAAAATTTCCCGATTTTTATTTCAGAGTGCCAAAATCCAACTGACTGGGCTGAGCTTGCAAATTATTAACATCATTGTACCGATTTAGTTCTAAGAAAGTCAAGATCTACTTAATTTTATCTTTTTTAGAGAATGGAAAAGAAGTCGAGAAGAAAAAGGGGATGAGAGAAGCGATTGGCAAAGGGAAATGAGAGAGAATTGATGGCAAACGAATTGAGCAGGGGAAGCAGAATGTCGGCGAAACGATTTACTTCGTTTTTAGAAAATTTTCCGTTTTTATTTCAGAGTGCCATTTTCCCCCGAAAATCCAACTAATTGATGGCAATCGAATCGGGGAGGGGAAACAGATTGTCGGCTATACGGGTGAGTTGTGCGGCAGGTGAGCCATTGAGCCGGATAGAAAATGGAACGAAAAAATGGAAAACAAAGTTTAGTTCATTAAAAGAACCGATTTGGATTTAACTCGTTGGGTAAACTAGGCAATTGGACCAAATTGTCAAATGAAATGAATAGTTGAACCAAATTTTGAGTTATTGAAGTGACTTTGGGGCATTTTATTGAGCCGCAGAAAGACAGCGGCAAGAAAGGCCTAGGGCTAGGCAATTGAACAAACAGTAGATTTACTTGGTTTTTAGACAATTTTCCGTCTTTAATTTCAGGGTGCCATTTTCCCCCGAAAAACCAACTAATTGGGATGAGCGACTTTGGGGAATTTTGTGGAGTTGCGGAATGAAAACGGCAAAAAAGTCTTAACATCGTTGTACCGATTTAGTTTTAAGAAAGTCCAAATCTACTTAATTTTATCTTTTTTAGAGGATCACATTGGGAAATCCAATCGACACGAATGGGGGATCGGTTGTGATTCGGAAAACCAGTCGAGAAGAAAAAGAGGATGAGAGAAGCGATTGGGAAAGGGAACTGAGAGACATTGAGAAAGAATTGATGGCAATCGAATCGAGGAGAGGAAGCAGACTGTCGGCTATACGGGTGAGTTGTGCAGCGAGTGGAGGCAAGTGAACCGAATAGGAAGTGGGACGAGTAAGAGTCACATTTCTTTTTTCACTGATGAAGCCTCATAGTTGACGAATTGCACGAGCCCAGGTCAGGGGTTCGATCAGGCCTAGATCTGGCTTTGTTTTAAAGAGTTTAAAAAGATATGATTGAAAAGATCCTGATCCGATTCCCGACTCATCTGAATCTAGATCTAGTCCTAGGGCTTGGTTGAAAATCCGTGCAATAATTTTTCAATACTGTTACAATAATCAAGACTCTTACAATATTAAAATAATCTCTCTAAAAGGATCCCTATTGTGGTCTACTGGACTACCGAAACTATTACATTTTTGTCCCCAAGTTCCAGTTCTACTCTCACCAAAATTTATTTACTTTTTTAAAAAACCGTTTGCCTACGTGTTTTTAATGAATAATAGAGCTAAATTCTATGCACCTGTAGCTTTCAGAAATGTAGCAACAAATGTTAAATTTTTCAATACTGATCTGCTGATTCTGATACTTTGGAAGTTTCCAGCTTTTGTAAATCATTTGTTGAAGTTATCTGTTGTTGAAGTTGTAAGTTATAGCGGTGTATAAAACTCGAGTCAATAATTTCATGCAAATACGTAGGGAAACAGTTTTTTATTAAGCAAACAAAGTTTGACGAGAGTTTGACTCAAACTTGAGGATGTAATTGGTTCGGGAGACTAGCGGACTATCCACTAGACCATCCAAGCAGTCATCAGCCAAACTTGTGACGGCCTCATAAAGAACTCGAAGGTTCGAAGATGAAAAAAGAAGGTTATATTTTATGCCAAAGATCTCACGTTTGGGGAGCGTTCTGCAAAAAATAAAAACGAATTCGAGATGCAAATAAAAAAGTAGAATTGGATAAAAGATAAAGGATAAAGAATTGGCAAGAAAAAGTAGTAAAAAAGTGGAAAAAGAAGGCAACGGTCAGGCCAACCATCAATGACTGGTTCAAGAACTGATTCTTCAGGGAATCGCCACTTTCGCCTCACTAATCTCACTGCCAACAATCACTAGAATTGACCCTATTACTGGGAGAAGCATCCATTTTCTCTCGCAATCACACTGTTTTCTACGCAGTACTCTAAATAGTAGGAATTATCAATTTAACCTGTTTGAAAAAGAGAAAAAAAAAACAAAAAGTTATGGAAAGAATAATAGAAAAAAATGCGCAAGATTTTAATGTACATTTGCATTTGAAAAATTTGCTGACACAAAGCATAGGGTTACGGTAGCTTATCTTCGGCGCGCGCTTTTTAGAAAACGCGTTGTCTGCAAGGAATACACTCTAGTTAAGACAGCATGTGGCGGCTTCTTAAGGAGGATTTAGATATCTCGCGTTCACAAAGCGTAATGCAAAGACTAGAAACGGATTCGAGATCCCCATGGCTGATTCTAGATGAACTTGGTCTCGAGTCAAAAGGCTAGCTTGACTTACCTATAACTAACCTTATTCTTCTAAGGGCAGCATCAAGAGGAAGTCAAGGTTCTTTTCATAGGTTTTTTCGAATTCAGTAAGGTTTTCACGTGACTTGTTTATAACTCTAGGCTTTTTGGGATACAATAGAGATCCTTTTCGAACGAGTTTTTTAATGTTAGAATAGAGTTTTGTCTAATTGTATTGACAATTATTGCATGGATTTTCAACGGAGCCCTAGATCTTGACTTTTTTTCAAACTAAATTGATATGAGGGTGCTAAGAATTTGCAAGCTCAATCTGCATCTAGGAACCGGGTCTTTTAAACCGCATCTTTTTAAACTTTTTTTTAAAGTTACACCAGGTCTAAGCCTGATCTAACCCCTGACCTGGGCTCGTGCAATTCGTCAATTATGAGACTTTATCAGTGAAAAAAGAAATGTCACTCTGAATCGTTCCATTTCCTATTCGGTTCACTTGTCACCACTCGCTGCACAACTCACCCGTATAGCCGACAGTCTGCTTCCTCTCCTCGATTCGATTGCCATCAATTCTTTCTCAATGTCTCTCAGTTCCCTTTCCCAATCGCTTCTCTCATCTCCTTTTTCTTCTCGACTTCTTTTCCGAATCACAACCGATCCCCCATTCTTGTCGGTTGGAGCTCCCAATGTGATCGCCTAAAAAAGATAACAGGCAACGTTAACCATGCTAATTTATGATGTAATTTGAAATGCTCTGTGGACAATTCGACTACGAAACTGTAGGAGTGATGATGATTAATTCGTCCTCTGTAGAATACAAAAGAGCAATTTATTGAGGGATTTTTGGAAGTTTTTAAGAAAATCTCTAGATTCACTTTATAAAAACTTTATAAAATCTAAATCGATACGAGGGTGCTAAGGATTTGCAGGCTTAGCCCAATTAGTTGGATTTTCGGGGGAAAGGGGAAAATAGCACTCTGAAATAAAAAACGGAAAATTTTCTAAAAACCAAGTAAATCTACTGTTTGTGCTGTAGGAGCCTTATTCAGGCTCCTACAGCACAAACAGTAGATTGAATAGGGATTTGGTAGGGGTTTCTTTGAGGAGAAATATGGACTTTGGGTCTTATTTTTTAGCTCTCATTTTGTCTGGTTTTCTACCAGCATGAACTCGTCAGTTAATCCGGAAGTTTAGAGTCAAAACTTGTTCTGCTTCTGTTCATCATTGATTTCATGTACTTATCTACTTCATTCTAAAGTTAAAGGTGACTAATGTCTGAGTATAACAGACAAATACCGAACTACTAGCTAAGCTCTAGGGTTTTTAATCGCTTTTCGCTTTTTATAGCTAGGCTTATTGATCTAAATTCTTTAAATCCGACAAAAATTTAAGCTTTTTCAAATTTACAGATCTTCAGCCAAGTTTTTCTTTGATACTTTGACTTTTCGTTCAATTTTGTATTAAATTTCCTTCATAATTTTTGAACTTTTCTCTTTCATGAAACCTTTCGAACTCTTTGAATATCTTAAAAGTTAATTATCTAAAGTAAATTAACTAATATATGTTTTTGTAAGTCTGGGCTTAGTTCTACTGTAACATAGCACTGATATTAAGTTAATAAAATGATCAATTCCCGCTTGGTAACGAGTTTTTTCCTTGCATAACACATTGCACAACTCACAACTTGCACAACATTTCCAGGCACAAGACAATGATAGAATTTTTGTTGACCTGTTAAGAGCACAATAAAGTCCTTATTTGAAGTGATATTCTTCTCCAACTCAGCTATGGATTTAGATTTAGAGTTAAGGTGAAAATTAATATATAGAAAGATAGAAAGCCTTCAAAATGAGCCGTTTAAGATACAGTTATTCTAAGTCCAAAGTCCAGTCCATAGCTGAATTGGAAAAGAATATCATTTCCAATGAGAAATTGATTGTCTTAACAGTTCTTAACAGGTCAACAAAAATTCTCGCTCTTGTCTTGTGCCAGGAAATGTTGCGAATGAGTTTATGGCTATTTATTTCTATTTTGTGACCTGGCACAAAACTAAAACGAATCTTTGTGCAAATTTAGATAGATACTAAAATTTTAAATAGTTATCTATTTTCCGTTTGTCTTGATTTATCCCTTTTCAAGCAATTTTCACCATTAAAAGCTTTATTCAAGTAAAGCCGATCCATTTCACCTATCTATTTGTTCTCAGTTTTACTGATTTACTGCTTTACTGCTTTATATTATCAATTTCAGTCAAAAGAATGTAAAAGCGATGCCAAACGATCAGCCACTAAACAAAAGAAAACGCCATTATGCGGAGGAATTGGAGGGGGCGTCGACCACATCGACGGCAGCTTTTTCAACAATTCCACAAACGCTTTCGACTGAAAAGTTCGTTTCTAGCACCTAATACCAGGCAGGTCTGCCATATCACGAGCGATTACGCGCACAAAGAACATCTCCCTAGTCATTCACACAAGGATTTTTCTTTCTGTAGATTGTGTAAAAAAGATATTCAGCTGTAGATTTGTACCGGGGGATTTCCGAGGTTGGGAAATCGATTTGAGATATTCATTTTATTTTATTCCTTTTGTAACATTCAAAATTTAGCAATCTCCCCTCGTGGACAGCTTTCGAATATGAACAGGTAAGGACTGAACTTGGCTCTGGACTTGACTGGCCGGAACTAGGTCTAGTCTAGATCAGGCTCTGATATCGCCCTGACAAGACTTGATTTGTATCTGGTTCTGGCCTAGATCTAGCGCTGGATCTAACTAGGTCGGCACTTGGGCCCAGCTCCGTACTTGGCTAAATGTCTCCTTCTAGGATATGCCTTTCACCCCGTCAGTTGCACAATATCAAGACCTCAACCAACCACAGCCACATCAACCGCACCAACTCCCACCACCTTCTGGTAAACAAAACGATAATAAGCTAACTGACTACTTTACATTGTGCTCATAAAATTTTGCATATTTACAGATGGCTTCGACTTGAGCATTTACAGATGGAATATGATTCTTGAGATGCCCGAGCCCGAGAACGTTGATTGGTTTGCCACGGATCAGTCCGTGGATCCGTATCTCGGTCAGTTAAAGGCCTAAGCCAAAATTTGACTTCAAGTTTCAGATCAACGACCACCCGAGGCTTTCAATACAGCGTACCCTGGACATTTTCAAGGATCCGATCAATGTGAGTTGTGCCAGAAATAAAAAGAAATCCTTTTTGCAGTCGGTTTTGAACCGTATCCAATGGGAGGAAGCCAAGAAGACCTTCAGGATCCGGATCAACCAGGTGAGATTTTAGAAAGGATAACTGAGTTTTCCTTTCTAAACCAACTTATTGTGATCTTTCTTAAAGCTCAGCCAGATAAGGCAAGACCATAGACAGGGCCAAACCTGGCTTCTGGAGGCCTCAAGCTTTTATGGTCCAGGAAAGCAAGCCTAGAAAACAATCAAGCATGGTCTTAAGGGCCCAGGCCATACTAGGACCTGATCCTGGCCTATCTATGAAGTTGTCTGAATAAAACCGCGCACTAGGTCCATCTCATCGTTACCACATTCCACAAGCACAAACGTTTTTCGGCCACATGTTCGACGTGCGCTTATCAGGTAAATCTCATAGCTGAGAATGATTAGTAACTCCTTTAAACCTTGATGTAAAAACTATAAAATGAGTGCCCCCAGAAATTGTGCGTTTCTGAGAGCACAAAATACAGCTGATAGCTTTTAGTCTGTGAAGATGCTGTAGAAGGGATTGAAGGTCGAGTCAGAGATGAGAAGAAGAATCTATTGGAAGGTTGGAAAGTCAAAGATTGGAAATCAAATGAATGGAAAAAATTGGAGGAACACTGTACAAAAAATTTCGGATGTCTTCCACCGCCTCCACCACCCGCAATTTTATATGAGAGGAAGAAAAATGGGAGAAAGGTTTGACTAGAGATTTTTGTATAAAAGATTATACTGATGTGCATTTGAGAAAAGCGATTGCACTTGGGTGTCTGGCTGGTTTGGCTGGGTCAGGGAGAAGATCTGATCTCGCGACAATGACACTTTTGGTGTTTTGGTCTCAGAGACTAGAACGCTTTAGCGCTTGATCAACACGAAAATCTGTCTTTGGGGTTTTCGTGGTTGGGAAATCCAAATCCGCCGTTAACTCTCACTTATGAACTTATAAACCAAGCAAATTTGGGTAATTAAAATGAAATGGATAAAAAAGAGCGAAACTGGGTTTGTTTTGTCAGCTCCGAGCCAAACTGATATTTTAGTTACTATTGTTATTATTGAATGATTTGAATGACAACTGAGACTCTCATTTGGAGTCCCCCCTTCCCCTTGCACTCATTTGTAATCTGTTCGTCTTATCGTACTACTGTAAATAAAGATACGTATCTTCCGGGTCCATACAACTGCAGTTCAGGTCGGTATGCTTTCACAGGGGCTCCCCTCCAATACGTTGGAGGAGTTGAGTTGGGTTGTCGGGGTGTTAGAGATGGCGGGATGTCAAAAGGATCCACTCTCTTTAACTAAACCCAAATTCTAGTCCATATCCGTTTATACCTAGGAACGAATAGTTTTCGTTTTTTCTCAATTACCTCCAAAAGTTTAAGTGGCTCAAGGTGGTGTCCAAACTGTTTGTTTGACTTTTAATTTACTTTTCACACGTGATTGCCATAAAAATCTAATCTATCAAAAGGACTAATTCCAGAATCCTTCTGCTCCAATTGACTACTCATCCTCATCTCTTGACCCATCACCAGAAACTTCTACTTCCTCAAAAGAAGAGAAACCTGAAATGGTTAATGCTATCAAAACTGGAAACTCATTGATAGAGATGGCTCAATTTAGTAAAAGAAAAGAAATTTTCAGTCGCGAATATACTAAACTATCGATTGAGCAAAAACGAAAGTTCAAAGAGAAGAGCGATCGAGATCTGAAAAACATCAAACAGCCAACTGTTTATAGCGATAGTCTTTACGAATCTTTGCAAGAAAACGAAAAGCCGGAAAGTGTTGAAGAAATTTTTGATGATATGAAGAATTTGCATCTTCGAGCCCAGCTTGATGAATTTTTCGACGCGTTTCTCCCCATCGAACGCGTGAAGAGAACCCATTTCGAATTCAGTCTTTTAGCCGAATGTCTCGAAAGATTGAGGCCGTTTAAGGATTCAATCTATACGAGGAGAATACAGTTTAATTCTGGGTAACTAAACCAATCCGGTAACTAAATCAAAGTTTAGTTCGTTAAAAGAACCGATTTTGATTGCATTCGTTGGGTAAATCAGGCAATTGGATCAAACTGGCGAATAAAATAAATAACTAAACAAAATTTTGAGTTATGAAGTGACTTTGGGGCATTTTATTGAACCAGAGAATAACAGCGGCAAGAAAAGCTTGGGGTTAGGCAATTGAACCAACTGCCGAAGGAGAAAGTGCGCCAGAGGCTTACACACCACTCCAAGGTGCACGGTTGGAGAAAACTGACAAAATAAGGGCTAAAAATGAGCCTCAAAGAGTCAATCTTTCTCCTCTAAGAAAAACTTGCCAAATCCTTATCCAAAGCTTTATTTTTCTTCAGCACAAACAGTAGATTTACCTGGTTTTTTGAAAATTTTCCGTCTTTAATTTCAGAGTGCCATTTCCCTCGAAAATCCAACTAATTGGGCTGAGCTTGCAAATTCTTAACATTGTTGTACCGATTTAGTTCTTAAAGAGTTAAGATCTACTTAATTTTATCTTTTTGAGAGGATTGGGGAATTCGAATCGACACGAGTGGGGGATCGTTTGTGATTCGGAAAAGAAGTCGGGAAGAAAAAAGGGGATGAGAGGAGCGATTGGGAAAGGGAAATGAGAGGCGATGGTAGAGAATTGATGGCAATCGAATCGAGGAGGGGAGGCAGACTGTCGTCTAAAAAAACCGGAGAAATAGAACGAATCAAGAAACAAAGTCACACATTTCTTTGTTTCACTGATAAAGTTGACGAAGCCCAGGCTTTGGTTTGGGACAGCATGTGGCGGCTTTTCAAGGAATCGTCTCGAAGCTTTCCTCCGGCCTCTCCGCTCAAGGCGACGAGGATCGTGAGTGTCTTGTCCCGTCAACTCCCTCTTCAAGGTCCTCAATTCCTGTATTTCCAAGGGGCTTCTCCCCCTCCATCTCCATCATTGATCATTCGCCCTGTCTCCTCCATTCATCCCTCAACTCCTCCCATCTTCAATTCGCTAATTGTTAGGACACATTCGTTTTGATCTTCAAAAACTGCGCAGCTCGACGCCACTTATTCACTGGTGATCAAACCTTTTATACACATCATTTCTGGCGTACTCGAGTCATTGTACTAAGCAAAAACGAAGAAATCTGAAGAAAGCCAGAAAAGTGATGTTTACAAGTTTCGATCACAAAGTAGATCACGGAGCCAAAACGTGATCAAAGATACCGTAACTGCAAAGGAAAATTAGTATTTTGAAGCATAGTTTCCCATTTTTCACATCCAACTCCCCAAAACACAGCTCAGCACTCAATTCTTTCCATATTTCCCCCATTTTTATGAATGCACCGGTTCTCCTGTTATCTTTTCCTTCCATTAACGGGTTTTCTTCATTTATTGGTACTCATTCTTTCTTTTCTCATCGTTGCTTGTACATTTGTAAATCCCACAAGCTCTTCCTGCGTTTAGTAATAACATATCAATGAGAATAATAAATTTATTGGACTATGGATGTAAATGAATATCTACAGAACGAAAAAGAAACAGAAATCCGTTTAAAAGTCAGAGAAAATAGTGGAAAAACTAAAACTAACTAATAACTAGGTTTGAGCAAATTGACCATGTTGAATCTTTTTGAGTAAGTTTGAGAATGTTTATGAAGATCATAAGGGTTCCATTCCAATTCCCCTTTTGGTGAAAATCTGGTTTAAAAGCTTTCTCTTATTTGTGTGTGTTGATCGGTAAATTGCATTTATTACTGAGAGGGGGCACAAAGAACTTTTTATGGTGGGTTTTGTGAACATTTCAAGAATGAAGGACCTTTTATTTGGCTCAAAATTTTATTGATTTGCGAAAAAATTAAAGAAATCGAATAGCTTCAAGACAAATAGAGTTCAAAAATTGGACTAATAAAATAAAAGCTCTGGAAATTGGGAAGTCGGGAAGACTAGGGTTAGGATACAGAGCAACAAGCATTTTTTTCTTTTTCTTTCTTCTTTGGTGACTTCTTGATCTTCAACTACTGATTCTAGCCTCTTGTTGGTTATGAATTGGCTATAGGAGGCCGAATTCGGAACTTTCTCAAACTCAAGCCATTCTGTTTTTGGATTCCCTTGATAATCAATCAAACGGATGCAGGGTGTATATCCATCACTCTTGATCAAAGCATAGACGCACTCATTGAGCTTTGACTCTTGAAAGTATTCTCTTAATACTCCAACATCAATATGATGAAGTTTCATCTTCAAATCCAATCCAGGAATACTTTCCCCATTTCCATAATTATTTGGATGATCCAAGAGAATCAAAAATGAAATATCTAAGAGATTTTGACAGCAAAGAAAGCAAAGAGAGAGAAATGGTTGTTTAAAGAAACCAAAAGTCAGTTCTCTATGAGATGCTATGCAATCCAGGTAACTCTCGAAAAACAAAACCTTATTTTCCGTGATTTTATCACATACCGGAATGTACAATTCTTTAGGTAAATCTGATAACCAACGCCATCCTTTAATTTTTCTAAGCCCATCCATTTGACATTTCCCTGAATGATTCTTTTGACAAATTGGACGAGGAGGATTCCTTAATTGGAATAGGTAGTGCGGGAAGGAATAGGGCTCATCAGAAGTTGATTCAGATTCTTCGTCAAATTCGGAAGTTGATTCAGTGTCCGAAAATCCTTTAAACTCAGAAGAGTCATCGAGAAGTGACTCAATATTAAATGGAACATTATTCTTCTCCGAATCTTCTATTGGAATCAGATATTTCAAATTTAGTTTTATAATATTTTCCATTTTCTCTTGTTGTTTTTTCAATCCATCAATTATTCGTTCAAGAGGGATTTGTTTGTAATGGGAGAAATGAAGCAATTCGTGTTTTTGATCTTCATTTTCAATTTCATAGCTCCTGATTTCAGTTTTTAAATTGTCTGCCCATCTTCCTGGTATTTGTTTCCATAATCTTAAGTCTTCACTCACAAACCAATTCCTGAAACCAAATTCTTCTTCTTCATCCGAATGTAAATGAATCCATCCCTCACCAGACAATTGAGAAATAAAACATCGAAAATAGAAATTTGTTGTATATATCCCTCTTTTTTTTTTCTGTGAAGCGTTAATCTGAAACTCACACCACCCCCAATTTTCAAAACTTGATATCCAAATCTCCTCGTGACTTTTAAGGCTAATAAAAGCAAGGTCTTCATCCTCTAGCTGTTCTCGAAAATCTCCCAAAACAATCAATTCAAATATTTCATAAATATTCTTTTCATGTAGATTTTCCTTCTCTTCCTCTATCTCCATTATTTCGTCAATCAAATAACGAGCATCTTTGAATGTCTGAGTTTCTTCTTTTAATCTTGAAACAATATTTGGTGCTTCTTTGTAGAAATTGTCTCTTTCAGCAGAATTTAGGCTTTGGAGTTTATCTCGCATTATTCTAGGGAAGATATCCGATCTATACTCCTCGAATCTCTTTTCATATTTTCTCTCCTCAGATTCAACCATAACCCCTTCTGTTCTATTATCAAATCCAATTGGTTTCATCAGTTCTTTGTGGTTTTTATCTTCCGTGGACATAAAAGGGAGTGAAGAGATGAATTCATTTGTCTAGGTTATATTTGAGAAGTATAAAATTTCAGAAAAAGGGAACTTACTCAACGAATCTGTTGGGAAGTATGAAACTTCGCAAATTCCCATTTACTCCTAGTTACTCATTTAAAATAACCTCTAAAATGTTTTAAAATAACCTCTAAAATTTGGAGATCTTTGTCCGCAGGTCGGCGTGGAGATCATCACCAAGAAGTGCTTTTCTAATTGTTTTGACTATAATTTTGCTGGAATTTTATGGTTAACTGTTTCAAAGTTCCCCCTATATCTTTTGAAAGAAAGAAGAACTTTAGTGATGAAGCACGGATTTACATTGCATGGAAACATGAGTCAACTTTAATACGGCCGTTCCCAGCTATTTTACCACAAAAGATTCTGAAATTTTAATACTTGGTAGTCCTAAGAATTCTAAATAAAACATGAAAATTCTATTCATCATAATGGTAAAATAAGAGAAGGGAAATTTGCGATGTTTCATACTTTCCAACCCACTATCATAGTAAACCAGAAAATCAACTTCATTGAGAAAAGCTTACTTTCAGTGTTTGTTTAAGGAAATCCATGACTTCGGAAGCTGTTGGACGATGAATACGTTGAAAGTTAGTACATCTGATAGGTGAATTCTTGAAATATAAAAGAAAATCTTGAATCCGAACCTCGAGATGATTTCTTGAATTTCTGGTTGACATTCAGGTGATTCGATTTCAGTAAGACGTTCGAGGCCGATATCTAATACAAGCGCATCTCTGTTGAATGCCCCTTCTTGCCCATAATTCAAGAAGATTGTTCTAAAGAGATTCGTTTTTTGGGTCGGATACAACCCTTCAATATTGAATCTTTAATTTGCGTTACCTTCATGCATATGTTGGTGGTTTGTTTCATAAAATCTTTCAAATAAATACCTCCTTTCAATGATCTCCCACACGACCAAGCCAAGGCTGTAAACATCGTTTCGATGAGAATCCTGAAATGTATTTTAAATGATAAAGGTACATAATCAAACTCGAATATCTGGATCCTTGATTTGGTCATAAACATCCCGTATATGATTCTCAATCAACTCGGGTGGACTCATATATCGTTGTGTTCCAGCGAATGTTCCCGTAACAGTTCCATCACCCACTACTTTTACCAATCCGAAGTCACCAATCTTTAGCTGGTATTCATTGGTCACAAAAATGCTATAAATGAATTTGACATTTATATTACCGAATATTACTTGTCTGGTTTGATATCTCGGTGTACCAATTTGTGTTTCTGATACATGTGATCGATGGCATCAAATAATTGAATACCCCAGGTGAGAACAGTGTTCATTGAATAGCTGATTGTTGGGTTGAAGATTACTAAACTGTAGATTGTAACAATATATTTTTGATCCGAACCATCTCTGAGTGATCCCCTCTGGCAGTATTCCATTACAATTCCCAACTCCC